AAAAATGTTCAAGCAAGCATTTAGCTAGTCATATAAAACAGAAAGAGAAAATGAAAAGCTTGATTTTTCCCTAACAGCGAAAGAATGGCAGATCTCCAGAAGTGTTCAAGCATGCCAAGCCCACTACAGTCGTTTTTCTCCCTTTAACTTTTATTAAGTGCAGCAAATTATTGCACAACACAGGAAATATGGTGCCTTTCTAGGGCACATTTTTCCACATGTGTTGTACAAATAGGATTCTGCATTTTCCTAACCAAGAGGAAAACCAGCTTCCAGAGCAAAGTAACTTATGGCCATTTTTAAATCCACTCCCCCCTGCTCACTGTTCCTCATTTGTGTTAAGAACAAACTAGTGTCTTTCTTTTCTGTATCCAAAATAAAAGGAGATACCTTAATTAGAAGAATGCAAAATGGTGCATATGAAACACCCAGCCCAGCTGCTGCACACCATCAAATTCATAAAGAAAAGGAGGAGGGAAGGGCAGCTTTAACAAGATTACACACATTGACTTTGATCAAGACACAAAAGCACTAAGGCATTCCAGGCTTTTTATTGCTGTCTTCAGGCTACGTTTTAATGGTTACATTAGAAACATGCGAACACAGGCGGAAAGAGTGATTTTTTTTTTTAAGTGAGCAAGAGAACAGCAGTTGCCTTATAAAATGCTTCCTGCAATACATTGTGGGCTATGAGGAGAAAGCAAGGGCTGGGGAACAGATGAGTAACTGCATTTCCATTCTGCAGCTTAATTCCTAGTTTTGAATGCTGGGCCTGATCAGTGCAGGAAACATGCAAAGAATGTGATAGAGCACCACATTAAGCTTGCTTCTCCTCTCACTTTCCCCAAAAAGGAACAGTGCTTAAACTGCAGCTAATACAGTTGAATGTTTTAATCAGCAACAGCCTAGCTAGAATAATTACATCACCCTTGAACAATAGATTCCGAGTAAAATATAGGTATTCCAACTGGTATCTTTTAAAAATAACATCTTAAAGATATAGATGTTATGTATATACCTATGCTTCACTTAAGATAAATGCAAAATGTATATACAGAAACAGTTATACATTGATTACTGTTTCAGAATCCAAAACTTTCTTGGCTCATGTCACCTTTAGTATCTCAGCAATTTTTCAGGTTGCCCTAACGGTTCCCAAACCATGCGCTGTGGTGCTCTGGGAAGCTACAGCAAACTCACTAATAGATCTGTTTACTAAGTGGTGAAATATCCTGCAGCGCCACTTTGAGTTTGCTGTGGCACCCCACGGGGCTGCACCAGTGTTTGGGAACTGTGGCCCTGCAGTATTTAGAATTGTGCTGATCCTATTTTTTCCAGCAAAGTCTTATCAGATGGGTCAAGATAGGTCTTTCTGTAAAAGATAATCCTTCTTTAATTCACAGAAGGGCCCAGAAGTTCTCTAATAATACAAATCCCTACTTCGTATCTGATGTATTTCACGTCACCGAAAGTGAGCGATTAGGATGTACAGAAGAACTGCAAAGATAACCTCCCCTTTCCTTCTCTAAGTATCTCCTTTGGATCCAATTCAATATATCTGTATCTGCATTTTAAAACTTCTTGCTTGCACCTATATTTTATTCTAGATGCTAATACTGATGAACTGAGTTCACCAAAATACAGCTTCATTGACACAGCACCTCTTATCACATGATTTCATCAGTTAACTGATCAGTCTTATTTTGAATTCAGTCAATGGAGCATATTATCTTGTTCTAATAAAATAACTCTGGCAAACTTTTAATCAAGGTGAGGGAACTTATTTTTCCTTGTTTCATGGTGAAAAAAGGAAGTTGTTCTTAAAAAAACCAAAAGAGAAAGAGACATCACAGATTTGAGAGCCACAATTTTAGTTTTATATTCAATACCTCAGCTGAAATTTATCTGTAGAACCTACAAGACTGTGTTTCTATCTCATATACATTTTGCTGTATTACTGTTTGGGTTTGTTCCTACAAAGGGAACAAATTACTGCCAAATTGTGACATGAAGGTGTTTTTTTTTTTTTTTTTTAAAGAAAAGTGTATTAGTTCCTCAATCAAGCCACTGTATTATTATTGAGGACTGCTTCCTTTTGAAGCACATTTGCTCCATAAATGTAAAACCCTTATGGATAGTCAGTACTAAATGTATTATAGTGAAAGGGCTTGGGCAGTTAAATATTATTTTCAGGCTCTAACAGGAAAAAAGAATTGTTGTGTTGACAGGAATTCTAGTTTAATAAGCTATCATGTGGATAGACTTGAATAATGGGTGCAATAAGACCAATTGCTCCCATTTTATTTACTTCTCATTTTGCAGAAGCAAGAAAGCAAGAAAGGGGAAGTTTTTGATGGTGTCTAAAACAGGTGTGCACAAGTTCTATTAGCTCAAAGGTGCACCAGACGTTGCATATCTCAAGGACCACATTCCCAAAGTGTGTGGGGCCTAGGGCTGTTTTGGCAGAGATTTTCAGGAGGTTTTACTTGTGAAATGGGTACCTTAAGTATTTGTAAGGCTTAAGCCACCCATCCTGCCCTTATAGTACCGTTTGCCCCTAATCTAATACATGATTTTGATGAAGTGCACCCAAGCACAGCAGGACTATAAATCACTTTTAAAGACACTGTTTTCTCAGTTTACTCATATTTGTTGGTCTGAGTATGCTTAACTATATCTCTAGTTTGGACGCTGTGCAAAACTCTCTATACTGTTTATCAATGCAAAGGAAGAAACAAAATACTGCAAGAAAAAAGCTTTTTCTTATGTTGCAGGCAAAATTCCCTATGTCCTGTGACATTACAGAATTTTGATCTCCTTGCCTGTCCAGCAAACGCTTGCTTGATCATCATACCACTGTTTCATTGTAAATCATCTTAGGATCTAATCTGATGAACAACAATATAAATCATTTTAATTAAATATATTTTTTATATTGATCCCCAGAAAACTGGCTGCCTGTAGAAATGTACATTAATGCAGATTGATGTATCAGATATATTGTACAGTGTGTATATTCACTGATGTCAAGAATCAGTGGGGAAAAGAATGCAACAGTATTTTTAAAAAATGAAACCTTTGTGATTACAATGTTAACTACAAAAAAGCAATAAGAAATGTTTTCTTCTTTCTTTATGGGGCAAACTGCCAAATATCTGTGGAAGTGAAAAACTTAGTTTTTGTTTATTAAATTCCCCCCCCCAATATATGTAATTAATAAAGATTTTAAAAATCTGGCTAATGGCTCCTGCTGTTTCTCTCACTAGTGTGAATAGTTAAAAAAAACAATTTTTAGTACAAACTCACAAGTCTGTTTTACCATTTGCAAGCCATGATCAAAAAGCAGTATTTCTTCTTACTTTTAAATAATAGCTTATAAAAGATGGAAAAAGCAAGCTGCATGTAAAAAGACACCAAAGTATTTTTTCTATTGGTGCCAATTTCCTTTTACTTTCTGAACTGATTAAAAAAGATTCCATTTTGCTTGTGGGTGCATCATGCTGCATCTATACTTATTAAGAAATAATAATGCTTAACTGAACTGTTGAGAAACTAAGTTTAGTATATATTTTTTATAAGCCTGCTTTTCATATTACTTTCCCCATAAGTACATCCTTGAGATGAATATAATGTAATGAATGGATCTTATGACAGTTGCTGCTGGTTAATCTGTAATATCCAGAATGTTCCATCTCCACAACTTGGAAATAGTTAGACATACAAACTCCCCTTATGAAATTGTAAGAAGTCTACAAATGTGTTTGAGCACCTTGAGTAATACAAAGAATCCTATTCTTCTATAATCTGAAAGGAATTACTTGCACTTTTTCACCTATATAAAAACATTTCATTCATACTTTCTCACATTCACATACAACGTCAATTATGAATTCTACTGCAGCAACTACCTATAGCTGCAAAACTCTCCTGCACTACATTAACTGTATGTCCAGCACTCATTGAAGGAGAGCAGCCTACCTTGCAAAGCCAATTTAAAGAAGCTTTCTACAAATGGATTGGGGAAGTGACTGTAGACGTGGACAATCAAAGCAGGATTGCACAGTCAAAAGTAATGGGCTCTGTCTTAGGGGGCCCAGGTTACTTGTGGGACCGCCTCACCCTGAGGGTATCTGCCTGTCCTACTGGATCAGATAGGGTGGGTGCGCTTCAGGTCCCTGTTGCCATCTGATGGGACTTCAGAGGTGTGCCTTCTCAGTGGCTGCCCCAGCCCTTTGGAACAGCCTCCCACCTGAGATCAGAGGGATCCCTACCCTTTTAGCCTTCTGGAGGGCTGTGAAGACTTGGCTCTTCCTCTAAGCATTGGGCTAGGTTGCGGGTTGAGCTGTGAGGATGTTTGGTCTGGTGCCTGGGGGGAAGGGTACCTTTGTTTTTAACTATGTTTTATGGATTGTTGTGAGCTGCCTAGAATCATTCTATGAGATAGGTGGCCATATAAGCCCTGAAAATAGATAGAATAAAATAGAATAAAAATCTCACCCCAGCCTGCCAGCCAGCCTGCACTGTGGGAAATAAAACGGAATGCTGCTCCAACCACCTCTGAGGGTGCAAAGGTATAAACTGAAAGACTGGAATAAGCCACTGATTAGATGGGAAGATCTGCCTGCTCTAAAGCTGTAGTTTTCAACTGTTGGTACATGCACCAGAGATGGAACTCAGAAGTAGTCTAGGTGAGTCATAAGATAAACAATTGAACCTTTAATCATACTTTTAAAACTTACTGTTAAATCTCTCTTTCTAAAAATACCTGTAAACATACAAAGATCATTCTTGAAAAAAAGTGAAGTCTTTGTTTCTATCATGATAGGACCCAGGTTGTTTGGCAAAAAGACATCAAAAGAAGGTAAAATTAAGAATGATTGCCATTAAGTAAAAAAGAGGCACAATATTTCAAAGAGGTTTCTCATGCAGCTGTAAATTCAACCAAGGGAAAAAATGAGAAACTAATTGTAAGCCACCACCTAAGAAACCAAGAGACTTACCAGAGTCCGCAGCCAACATTCCTCACAGTGCACATGCCAGCACTGGATGGAGGTCAGGGGCATCATATATGAGTCCTGCAGAAAGAAAGTAAAGGCAGCCGCATCACATACACTAAAATTATGGCCATTACTGACTGAACTCTGGCAGTACAGGGCAGGATGCAGTGGGGTTAGCATTTCTCTAAATTGCATTTTCTCGTTTGACCTACACACCATTGCTTGATTTTACATGCATCTGTGAACTGAGGCACATTTGGTAAATATACAATGGAAGATGATATAACCTCAAAGAGAACACAGACACAATATAGTGCTGCATGCTGATCTGTAGATTAGGAACAAAATTAACTGTTACTTTTGACTTTCAATTGTGAAAAATGGAGACAAATCAACTGGCTTTATTGATTAATCCTCTTTGAACAGACTAACTTCATATTAAGATACCATAATTCTCTTTAACAAATGCTTATAGCAAACTCTTGCTATAATCATATATAAAAAAAATTTACACACACACACCAATGTAATGTATGCTCGCTGTCTAGAGAGATAAAAGGTAAATGTTAAAAGGCACTTTATATTCATGCCATTGGGGAGATGTGGGGAGAGACAATATTTTCCATACAGACTTAATTGTACTCTGTGTCCTAGGAAAAGATACTTCCTAAAAATAGAGCTATAGCTTAGAATGAAAGACACTAGTACCCTTTGAATCAAAAAACTGAAAGTTATAAAACTGTACAACCTGTAAAAAGTGATATGAACATCTCCAGACTCCAAGCCACTAGAGGGAGCTCCAGCACTTCAATAATAAGCTATACTAGTCAGATGCTCATTATTACAATCTTTCCCAGCTTCTGCTCTCCAAATGTTGTCAAGTCAAGTCCCATAATCCTCAGTCACCATGATTTTAAATAATTTGGCTAATGGTCTGCATTCAAGCCTTATCATATAAGTATGTAGCAAATCAGGAAGAAAAACATGAATGTATGTCCTACAAGATCAATAGCTGTGTGGTTTATACAAGCAAAACCCATACATTAGGCAAGAGTAATGTCATACTGTAGCAAATACACTGAAACTAACTTCACAGCAAGAAAAAAAAGTACTATTTCCCCAGAGTCAAGCGATAGTGGATAATGCTGCAGTTTCTCCTATCAATTGTGCCATTTTGTTATAGCCAAGGCAGAGATACAGTGTCTTTTCCTCATTCATGACCAGAACTGGCAAACTACTCACCATGCAAATGAGACATTTATAGCGGTCCCCACGGGAGAGCTGCCTTTCTAATTCACGAACACGAGCCTTTAGCGCCTCAAATGTTGTCACTGCCGAGTCTTCTGTAATCCTAAAATAGATGACAAAGTCAGGGCTGGCTGAGTTCTTAGAAACATTTCACTGATTTCATTATGTGCCAAGTGCAGTAGGCAAACCACATAGAGTTAGGGTACATCTTGGCTCCTAATAAGTGATTAAACAGATAGAATCAAATCAGCTTATAGAGTATGTAGGTTTGAGAATCAGCTGAGGCAGCCAACATTGGATAAGCTTTAACAGCAAAGGCCAAGGAGCAAAGTAGAGAATATATGACCTAGTGGGCAAATACTGTACTGTACTCTTGAGTGGGGAAAGTTGGAAGAAGGATACTGACCAATTTTGTTCTAAACAAGTGTGATGCTTCCTTTTTTGCCAAGCTCGTGCTAATTTGAAATTAAAAGCGGAGCCCTTGTGCAAGTGAAGAATTCACAGAAGGCTATATCACACCCACATTCACAAGAGAAGTAGTTTTCTAAAAGTTCTAACTTCACCACAAGCATTTAAAAAAGGATTGTTTGGCATACTGAAGAAACCAAGTATCAAGTGCTCTCTTGAAGTGGTTAATCAATGGAATGCTACACTATTTTAAAGCATATCTCTAAAAATAACTTTTACTTCAGTCAGAAAAGGAAAGAAACTTATCTAGCAGAGGTAAATCCATGCAGTGCAAATATATTAGGTTTAAAACATTGAGAGGGAATAAAAAGAACAGCCATTGCCTAATATATCAATAACTGCAACTCTGTCATGGATCGGGGAGCAAGTAATCCAAAACAAGGCTTTCTTTTAAGGGAGTGGGGATGCATTTCTTTGGGCTCATCCTTACTATGCCTATAGATTTAAAAAACATCGACATTCTGCAGAAATTCAAGTCTGCAATAAAACCAACTAGTTTAAGTAAAAAGACACACATTTGACATATATACCAAGTAAGCAATTTTACTTTGATAAGTTTGTTTTATCTCCTAAAAACTGCCCCCTTTGTTTACTACAGTAACTGCTACAGCCAAATGGGATAAGGAAGGGACAGGTATGCTAAATTGAGGTTATCCTAACAGCAAAGTGTCTCAGCAGGTAGAACTACAAAGGGATTTCAGCTCTGCCAGAATAAATTCCATTTTACTTTCTCCTTTGATAAGTAACTGTTAAAAGTTACTGATAGCACAATGTTTATTTTATGGAAGTTTGACTGATAATTGTTTTATTGTATTTTTATTATTGATTTATTATATATAATACTTGGGTTATTTTAATGATAAGCAATATAGAATATTCATAAATAAATAAATGAAAACTGCTAGGAAGTTAAGCTGAGTAGCATCTCTGATTCTGAGTCCTGCCAACCAAAGGAAATTGGAGCTTGGAAAGAAAGAAGCAGGCAGTAATAGAAAATGGATTGTTTATAGGAATCTTTAACAGTCCAACTTGCACTGGACAATTTCAGGAAGTCTCTCAGATGATCACTCTTGTCCAGTAATAAATGAATGAATCAGAAGACTAAACAGAAGCATATGCAACACCATTCAGCGCCTGTCTGATACAATGGTCAATCAATAGCAGGACTGTAGATCAGGGTGCTAGTTAGCTGGAAAATTACTGCACTGCCACGTGTGTCACGCTGGAGGGATCCTGGACAATCAATGAAGGAGGTATTGATTTAGTTATTATCACTTCATATGCTTCTGACATTGTTAAATATACATTTATTTGGGAGGGGGCATATAGCAAGACCGAACAGTACAACTCTCTTTTCCAACTGAGCCAGAACCCCTGAACATTTCATTTTGGCCCAAACATTATTCAGACAGGTTTTTAAAATGTGGCAGATTTAGTCAGAACTTGATAAAAGTCTAGGGCAGTGTTTCTTTCCTAATATTTCCCAAGTATAGCTTTAGAGTAATTAAGGAAGGTGTTCCTGGAAGTTTATTCTTTCACTCTTATTGATCTATGAACAATTAAATAATTTTTTAAAAACTACCAGCTTTTCTTCCGTATCCTGAATTTTGGGCATTTTTCATTTTTACACTGGAAAAAGACGTGACATTAATGGAAGATTTGTCTTTCCTCATTTCAATACAGGAAGAACTACAGAATTCTGAAGTGGAGAGGAAGCAAACTTAAATATATTAAAATAGATACAAGAAATGTATAGACTAGGTGACATTTGTTCCATATCAAAAGATGAGAATGAAAAGAAAGGCTAAGCCCAATATTACTCTTATTGTGCTAAACCTGATAAAATACGTCCATTCCAATCTCTCATAGAATAATATTAAAATGAAGGTTTTGCTACTCCTATATAATTGCTGCTCTAGCAGCCTAGCAATGGCCAGATGAACACACCACAAACAAGATGGAAGAAGTTGGATACTCTCCTTCATCCCAGTTTTGCTTCAGAATTCAGAATGCTTTCAAAACTAATCTTCCCCTCAAGTTTATTTCAATAGAATACACATTCCCTTCATAAATAGTCATGCTATACATAATATTTCATAAATTTTATAGTCCTGCTGTTTATATGTGCCTTGTAAAATATATTTAGAATTGATTATATGCAAGACAAATAAAATTTCATGGACTATTTCCAACACTTGATCTCTTTGTTTTTTCCATCTTTAAACATACTTTTTTTAAAAAAAAATTTCATAAGTCTGAGAATTCGAACAAATTTAGGGTTTCTTATAAATTACCTCATAAGGAAATAAATTCCATCCCTGCTCACTAATATGTCATGGAATTATCTGATGACCAACATATGCATCAAAATGAGATCCCCCAAAATAAATTTAGTTCTCTATAAATACAGAAATAAAAACAAACTTTTTTGGACTGCTGTTTCTAAGGGCACAAATCTAGTCAATATGTAATAAAATACCAGGAAACAACAAATCTATATAGAAAAATGGCATATAAAATTATATGGCAACCCAGTAATTAGTGATGTACAGTGATCTAATTTAAAAGGCACTATAGCAAAGTGATCTGATTGAATCTGAGTGCACAAGAAAACACACCTACCAAAAGTGCAATTCTTAAACTATATTCAGAAGCGGCATGAATTTCTCACACTTTAATTTTAATCTAAAACTACACTAGACTGATTTTTGTGCAATTAAAAAATCCAGTTATGTATTTTATTCACTACATTCACAAGATGTCTACACTGAGTATTCTAAAATGTCATCACATTTAAATTGATTATTTAATTTTTTTAAAAAAATCCATCCCATTTTCTTTCAATCAGCATATTAAAAAGCAGCATCTGATAAAGGCTTTAAAATTACAAGCATCTTTTAAAAACTTCAAGTGTTGTTTCCAAAAAATCATTACTCTTTATATACTTAGTGCCTAATTATATTTCTGAAACATCAGCTCTTGTTCCCTGGCTATAAGTTGTTGCATGAAATGCAGTTATTTTCTTTTAAAAAACTTCTACTGCAGAGATCATATGTATTACCATTACTAGGTAAGTGTGACTCTTTCTCCACCTATAGGATCAATGCTATTTATAATATCCCTAAAACATGCTAATGTGCAAAATAAATGTTAGATTATAGTTTCCTTATCTCCCACAAAGGATCCCTTTGGTGATTTCAATAGCTCAGTAACAAACCACTTTATGACTGCATATATTTCAATGGTTCCAACTTATTAGATACTGTATAAAATATATATTTGTGTGACTACAATTACATGTTTTGGCATTTAGTAAGGAAACATGTGAAAACCATGGCTTGTGGTTAAGTAAAGAGAAAACATGTGCAGAAAATGTGTGAAAATCATATCCAAGACAAAGCTGAAATAAAATGTGGCTACACGTGCCAGTTTCAGTGCAGCCTTAAGAGGACACAACATAATCAACTGGAGATGAAAGCATTAAAAAGCCTGCATTACCAAATTCCTGTATCTACTTCAGTGACAACAGCAGAATATTCAAAATGAAAGCTTTATCCCATCTGGATTCTTTTCATTGGCAGCCATGCAGCCATGGCTGAAGTTGTATAACAAAGAGGCTCAAGTATCACACCGACTAACTCACTCCTACCAGACAGAACATTTACATCTTACAATGACCTTCCATGTTTAACTAGTTAATTATGCAGTGTAGATGACAGTGCTCTGGTTCAGGCAGCAGCAATGCAAGGTGGATCAAGAAAGCAAGCTGGGCCAGGCCAAGCAGAAGAGATTCCTTTTGACTCTCAAACAGTTATATGGTAGCTTTATCCTGCAAGAGAGGAATTAGCAGATCTATCAACTTTGTTAAAGTGGATGTTTCACCTTTGGGGCATGTACATTCTGCCCAGTATTAGGAACTCTTACATGTGAGATATATTTCTGTTAGTCTGGAATTGCAGCTAGGCTTTGGAATCACACAGAGGTGACAGAATGACTGCCCCAGATGGGAGATTGACCACAGCTAACTTAGTAGCTCAATCACAAATTAGAATATTCAAGGAACAACCAAGACAGAAATAGGGTACATTCACAGGCCCAATACACAGACTACCCTATTTATCTGGAATTAAAACAGAATGACAGAATATATTTTTATCACTTAATATAGCAGTTAGCTTTCCTGCTTGACACAAGAAAGTCTTCTGCTGGATATCTTTGTAAACTAATCTTGAAAAAAAGCTGATTTGGAATCCTGTGAAGGAATGCTGCCTCCACTGAGGAACTGGCAAGGATTCTAATGTACTGTACTAAGATGGGTATCCTTCCATCTTGATTAATGTACTCTTTCTAGGAACATATATTAAGAATTTTGTTCACCTCTAATTATAGTGGTGGCTTATTTTGGCGACATGCCCTAGCCCGTTTGCCAAGTTATGAATAATGCAATGTTCCACAGCCTAATTTCCATGTTCTCAGCTGAAAATTTGGAAGAGGTTGCATGCAAGGGTGAGTATCTGCAAAGCAGAGGCCCTCTGTGCCACAAGGGCCTCTATTTTATACTTGCTTGCACAACTTGTTAATGCTACCAGCTGCTTGCCAAGTTTGGAGTTATCTGTTGACTAATTTAATCTTCAT